TATGACAAAGTCGAACTCCACCGGAGACGGCGAAGTGTAACAAAAGCTGGCCAGATGCCCTAACCCAACCTGAGGTATGACGATACAACTCTTTGAGCAGCGACACATACTTGTCTGATACTTCATTCCTCAACAAACAGCTCCATAGACCGGCCGCGTGAGTGCTTAAGAATACGATGACCGTTAGTCTTTGATAGGCATGACGGTGATTGAGCAGCTGTCGGAAGGTGAAGATTTGATCGATGCATCCACTACCGGCGCGAAAGCCAGCCGGCGGAGAATGACGGACGCCAACAGCTTTGACGCTATTGTGATAAGGCTTATACCCCTATGATTGACGTAGTCACCGCGCGGGCCCTTTTAAAGATGTGGATGACGGTCGATTCCTCCACGAAGAGGACCTGCTTATTGTACCAGTTTTTAGTTATCAGAGCTACCAATTCTTTAACAAGCTTTATTCCATCCTCTTTAAATTGAGCTGGGGGAAGGCCATCGGAGCCCAGTGCTTTGTGACGTCCCAAATCTTGAATATCCTTGCGGAGTTCCGTCTCAGGTGGGTCCGTTAAGACAGACCAGGGGACGTGTGCCGGAGTAGGTTTGAGAACCCGACGCTGGTGGCTAGCTAGACTGTGCCTTAAAATACTCCGCTCAGCGTGCAAGACGTCGCTGTTAATTATAAATGGGCGAGTCGTCAGCTTCGCAGATTGTGTCGCTCACATCCAAGGTTTTCCTACTGCTAACTCGAATACGATGGAACAGCTCACAGGAATTTCCCATGATGGCTGCACGTTCTATTTCTGATGTGTAGTGAGTCCACCAGAACTCGCTGTCTCTGCGTAGGCTTGCGATAAGTTCATGTTTTCTTACGAATCGTCTTATAATGTTTGCTGCCGGTAGGAAGTGATTGACATGTATTAAGAAAGCGTAGAGACTTCGTAGAAATCCAAGGTGTCACGGCACGACGTGTCAGACCACAACTGAGCCAGCGGAATGCAGAGCATTCTTGATAAGAGACCAGTTATGGTTGCTGTTATCGTGTGGTGTTGGTTCCAGCTTATCAGGTAGCGCGTTTTGGAAGACAGTTAGACAAACTGGTTGAAGTAGCTTATCAGAATATAACCGTCGTTGTAACAGGAATCTAGTTCGAAAGCACCTCCCAGATACGCCTCACTCAAGGTCAACTGACCCACTTTAGCATTCGTATTTCGTGCTAAAATCACGATATCAGCCCGGGTTGCTTTGCACAAGAGATCACTCGGCGAAGGGGTAGAAGACTCACCAGGGACGTCAATACTGAACACGAACCCCGGTTGACGATCCAGTTGTTGGAACCAATTTTCAACCAGTACACATCGCATTATCCGGTCTACCGTGCAGTTGAATAGCCCTAAAGATGGCGGCCGCGCGTCACCAGTTCCAGTTTGAGATGAACTATTCCGCGCATTCACCAGCCTTTTGTGCAACTTTATGAGGCGCATCAGGAACCAAACACGAGTGACTGCATTGCGTTGGCGACGCAAATCAGCTGGTCAACCTTCTGCACGAAAGTCAATATTTGAAGGCTCCCAGATCCAGAGGATGACTAGGCCTCCAAACATGCAAACCACGTAGTATTAGGCTATTTACAATGTTATTTGGCAGCGAGCTTCGACGACTGACAAGTTCCTTGAGTTAATATGACCGATCGGAAGGGGATAAAAGATTAAGTAACCTAAAAACATCTATTTGTAATTCTGATCTGTCCCGGGGTGAGTTGGTTGGCATAGTGATAATACACCCGACTTCCATGAGATGGGTCCGAAGTTTGAAGTCCGGATGAACTGCACCACTGAGAACGAACCTCCAGTCTGGTGCTTCCCGAGCGTGCGGTTGATTGGATACACCGAGGATTATGTGTGAAGATGGAATCTGAAGGATGCCGGTTCAAATCTAAGATCGGGATACGTGAACGATAACCTAGTCGTCACAATTCATTCCACTCGATGCGATGAGCACTGCAAACCTGACCCTCATGCGCGACGACCGATAAAGTATGGGAATTTTTAGTGAGCTTTCGATGAAGCCCAACAGACAGATGCTGCTAGAGGATAGAACCTACAGGATTAAGAACAATTAGGGTTTTCAGCCAAAACTCTGACGAGAACAACGTCAGTGGGTAAGATCCGTCCAACTGGATCGATTACTAATCTAATTTTACCGACTGATACACCAACTCGAATAGAATCGCGAACCTTGATACACCTTGAGTGTGGAGCATTATACTTTTCAGCCTGATAAAATCAATTATGTACTCCGTTCGATAAAAGTGATTCATGAGCCATCACATCACGTCAAGGCGAAACCCGTCTGTGACTGTTCAGTGAACCGACTCGGTTCGCCTTGACCTGAGAACGGGACGAAACCGCAATCAGGACGAACCCCTCCTAACCTCATCCCCGCGCACCAGTTTAACGGCGAACAGAGTGAGACAGGGGACAAAAATAGTCGGTGGAGAACAAATAAACGAACGGATACAAGCAGAACACTGCCACTTCACAAGTATTGATGATGTCACCTCGGCCGACGATGAAACGTTTGCAAACAAATTGCCAAGCTCGGCGAACAGGCGAAATGGAATAGGTTTCACTTGATCCATACGCATGAAGGACAATGGGAGAAAATACCTAGAATGTTTCCCTAAATTTGGACTAAAATTTTCGATATCCGTTCCCAATGGATTGTTTTACTTTATCTTGTGTTCTAAGGCATTTGCAAGATTACTCTGTGGTAATTTTTTGGTATTCGATATGAAGATCATGGCATCTCAGGCCATTTCGCACGCCCCCGAACCGTTTTCTAATGAATTTGTGGCGGTTAATGGTAAGCCTCATTTACGTGTCTCGCGAAAAAAATACATTTATATTTCCAAAGACAGTTATACAGTTAATTTTGTTTAAACTAAGAACGATCTTCTATCGATAGTTCTTTGTCCTGCAACGCTTCTCATATAGACGGAATTAATGGCTTCCAAGTGTGGAGACACAATAAACGGAAATCCGATATTATGTAAATGTACCACTGTAGTGTTACCATCTTTTTGCAATGGTATTGACAATAAAATGGTACCAAGGCTGCAACGTTGAGAAGTTACTCCTTCTACCGAAAAGCAGGAAGACATTCCTGACTTTACTTCTTAACTGATAATTTCATTTTCTTTCCACGATGTCCAACAGTTTCAGTTCTTCTTTAATCAAAACACATTCCTATTCACCTCAAGAAATGTAGAATGCGAAACCGGGGAACAATCGCAAACTGGTTCAATCTTTAAAGATATTACTATTAGTTCGCAGCCGGAACTAAACTCACAAGCACAACACTGGACTTCTCCAAGGCGCTCGACCGAGTGAACCACGAAATACTGCTCCGTAAACTGTAGAATTTTGGTATCAGAGACCTCGCGCTTGATTGGATTGCTGCGTTTCCCCAACAACGGATCACGTCGGTTCGAGTCTCTAATTCTTTATCGCCGTTTTTCGATGAGTCCTCCAGGGTTCTGTGCTTGGTCCTCGACTTCATAAACGACCTGCCGAATGTCCTAGGACCACAAACACTATTGTTTGTAAACGACGTCACAATCTAGAAAACAGCAACAGAAAGTGGGAGTTCGCTGGAACTCCAAGAAACACTGAATGCAGTTCACAAATGGTCTATTGAGAACGATAACCAATTTAACGTCTCCAAATGCAAGGTGATTCCGGTACGCCACCGTGGGCGGTTTCCTTGGAAACGAATTACTGCCCCATGCATCAACAGAAAAGGACTTGGGTGTTATAGTCCACGAAGATCTGAGCTGTTCTATTAACTGTGCTAGGGTGTCATCAACAGCACTTTTACATGTCGGTCTACTCAAACGTATTTTCGGTCGTTTTGAACCATGGTTATTCCCACGTCTGCTGTCAGCATATATCTGGCTGCATATTGAATATGCGATCCAAACCTAGAATCCATGGTTACAACGTGATCATTTCGGAGCATCCACAAAGGCTCTCCACGAAGATGGTCAAAAGACTCTATTGACTCATACATGGGGAGACTGCAGCCATTGGGTCTATACTCTGCTCAGTATCGTCGGATTCGAGGAGACTTGCTTTTATTGTACCAAATATTACACAACCCAAACCACCCTTGTCACCCACTATTGACGTTGTCATTAAACATTCACCTACAGGGACATGCATTGAAGTCACTACTCCAAAAATCTCGACTGGAATGTCGACATCATTCCTTCGTCATCAGACTGTGCACTGTCTGGAATTGCTTAACATCTTATGCCGTTTGTGCCCAAACGATTGAAACTTGACGAACCGTTGACACATTGCATTCCAACATCCATGAGCACACATAACATAACTGAATACATCATATAGAACTTTGTTCATCACTGTTACAGTTCAATTCGTATAAACACCCTATGGGAAAAGAAAAGCATCTGCCCATAATAAACCTTTGACTTTGACTAATGTGCCACCCAAATGACCGCAGGGAAACAACTGGTTTACTACATCTACGAACAGTTACGACAGTAAGACCACTCTGTCCCGTACATTTGAACACTGATCTTACTCGGTTGGAAACATTTCAAAACCGACCACTATGCATAACATAATAATAAAATTAGTTTGCAAACACATTTCACCTTCCAATTGATTTTTTATTCAGCAACTAGTGCACGGTCAAACCATAGTTTTGTTCAACAGTGGTTCCATCGATTAATCTGTTTAGGTTTCTCGAAGGAAAACAAAAACCTGCCAATTTTATTCGCCTTCGAACTGATAACCCCAATCGTAAACGCTGAAACTAAATGGTCACGGAAAATTCTAGTGAAATGAACGAATAGTGATTGATGAATAGCGAAATGCACCTAAGGATAATATAATAGCACCATCGAAGTAGAGAACAAATTTGTAAAAAAGTTGGTTTACAAAAGGGATTACAATGAAAGGATTGCACCGCAGGTTTAATCAACTTTTTGTTGTGGGCTGGGTTTGAGGCTTTTCGTTTTTTGTGCAACTCACCGCCTCGAACATGGGACTATTTTCATACATAAAAATGGTCATTACACGGTTCAGATAATATTCCGAGTCAAGCTCGAGATTGCGGATCACCTCTTCCACAAGATGAGCTCGGCCTGCTCGCATACTGGCATTCTCACCAATATTGACATGAACAAAGTGCATATGCAAATGGTAAAATGTGGGAGGATAGTGTATGTAAGCCAAGATCTGGTCTTCGTCAAGTCGTTGTGCGTGACCATCCACTTCCGGAATCGTATACTTCGCAGCCAGTTGTTTACGGCCTTCATCAAGTAGTCGCTTCAATAGTGGTACGTGGGATGCTCGCAAATCACGTAAGCACCGTAAGTCGGTCCGTCGTACGATTCCCAAGTAGTGCATATCGTTCAGCTGGCGTCCATTCCAACGATAATCCTGGACAAGCGTGAAGCCCTCTTCGGGGTCTTCATCCGAAGACAATACGCGATCTTTTTCCGCCTTTCCCGATAAAATATTGTCCACCCAACTAAGATCAGGTGGGTTTTGCATCAAAAATGGAACTATTAAAGAACTGTATACTTCACGAGATTCTTGAAATATACGACAGCCAGATTGTCGGTATCTTTTGAAGTGATGTTCTTCCGCCGGAAATATAACAGTCATATCTACACCATTAACTAGGTCCAATCCACCAGTTACATACAGACGACGGTAAACATCATTCGATACAATCGAATCAGCACACCACTCGCTTTGGGTTATTTTTCGTTTGGTTGGTTTGTGTTCGGGATAGTCTGCGTCAGTTGGTTCGGCTTCCATCGATTCCCGTACAACATTAGTCTTAATAAGTTCACTCGCGACTCCAGGGAATGGGGACTTTTCAAGTATTACAATAGCGTCTTTATCCGGAGTGCTAATCAGCCTTGTATGCAACACTACCCGTTTAGTAGATGAATCACAGAGAAGTACCGATACCAAGCGCATATTCTGCGGACAAAACTGATGCACATCTTCATCCGCACCGTTAGCATCATCCAATCGGGGTTGCTCTCGCGTAGTGGCTGATGGCGAGTCCATATCCACAGTCTCAGCCATCGTGGCAATGGAATAATTAGGGATTTAAAGGAATGCGCGGATTGATCTCGACCGCAAGGATATCTGCCGCACGAAGACGAGCTTTTTCCAGTGTACCGAGTGGGGTTTTCAGATTTCGTACACACAACACGCCAGTGGAACTATCTGCTGGAGCACAGGTACGAAACAACTCTGCAGGGCACCAAACGTCCAGCTCGGCGTCAACTGGGTCGTTTAGGTCAATAAAATGTACACGGACCGCAGGGTTTATCTCAGTATTCTTATGAACCGTCAAATAATGTAGGATTCGCAAATAACGTAGACGATTTAGATCAAATGAGGCCGACAGGACAGTAGAACTACCTTCCGACTGATCACTTAGCATTAAGACACTATAGTGTCAAAATCTTTATTATTTACTCGTACTGCTGTGAGTTATGACGCTACGAAAGCTGAAAAAGAAAGAAAAACCAGATTATAGACTTTTGTTGGATAGTCAGAAGATATATTAGAATCGGATGAGAACTGATACAGATAGCGACAGAAACTTGAACGAGCAGATACGGTTGACAGTAGATCATTCTACTGTTATCCGGGGATTCATGTGGGCTATTACTTCAGAATCTGAACAGATTACCAACTGTTCCCAAAAATTCATAAATTCGGTAGGTGTACACATACCCAAACGAAACATGCTCGCTCAACAACGCTCGCGCAGCAAACTATGACCTTGATTCTGCACACCTATTCTTCTGATGTTTATTCCGAAATATTATTTTGAATGAAGACCTAAATTACCCTCTGTACAGACGCCACCCATTTTAGGCATGCACTTTATTCTTCGGGGCAGTCCGTGCCTAGACTAATCAAATAATCACCGCCATCACCATCCGCAGTGTCACCTGAATTTTTTCTATATTATATTATATTTCACACTTGTCTGAGGACAGATTGTGTGCCAAACAAATCATGGTACAATAATCTTTATAAAAAGAAAAATGTTCCATGATTGGCTTGTGGGCTGAGTACTGCCAGGTTGCCCAGGCCAATGCAGGTGAATTTTCTTGAGGAATCCACAACCGGAGCCTTTGGTTAGCCAAAGCCTGACCCGCAAGGCAGCGGGGCGGTGTACGAAAACCGTAATCCATTGGGAGCCGGTGTCCAGTTCATCGAATCATACGCCGTTCGGGCGGAGTCAGACGTCCAAGGTGCCCAATACACCTCAATGCCCAATCGAGCCGGTGACCACTGCCACAACCGAAAAGGTGTGGGTGTGGTTCGTACGTCTCCTCATAGTTGGTTTGGAATCAGGGCTTTTGGCCAACTCCCCTAGGTGAACTGCCAGTGGTCCACCAACCCGGCTATAGCCCCGGATATCGGCTTTTCGTCCTCTCACTTTGGTGGGAAAACACCGCCGCGAGAAGGCAGTGAGTAGGGCTATTTGAGACGCTTGGTCATATGGGGGCATTTCGTGAGGTGCAGGGGCAGGGTGACCAGCCGCAACCCTAGACACCCACCCCCAACCATACTGAGGCTTTCTTCTAAACATAGGGTTTTATTGATTATCGCATAAAATCTACAGTTCATTTATCCTAATCATTTTGTTCACTTGATCGCTTTTCTAATGGTAACAACGCTTTTAGTCAATCATAGGTCCTTAAGCACTTTGGAGCACAAGTGAAGTTGATCTCGAAGAGAAAAATCATAGTATTGGTCAAGGGATGGTAGCCCCGGGCGATCCTAAGGCATTCAGCCGCTATTCTGGTGACTGCACTACCCTGAATATGGTTATAGTAAGCCTTTAGCATTCCTTGGATCAGTTTGCCAGCCTTCGTTCGAAATGAAGTCAGCAAGCCATCTGAACTCTTGGCTTTTTCACCAGTCCCCTTGTATTGCAGTAGGCACCTATGGCTTCCTTTTCTTTTGAAGCGACGCTACGCTTGTTTTTTTGAATAGCTGTGTCTTGGTGGCCCGGCTCGTCCACCAGGCCGACCTTCTCTTTTCCCAACAGTTCTGGGTGATGCAAAATCCTCAGTGAGTCACCTTAGCTTCTCGTTGAACAGTTTCCAGCCGTCCTCAACGTTCCCGTACGCAAATTCCAGTCCAGCCTTCTAGCTGCCTCGAGCAAGTGTTGTTTATCCAATTTGTTATAAGCTCTCAGTAAATCCGGCGGAGGCACATCCGTCGCACTTGGGATAGCGAAACACAACACTCCATGGTCACTCCGTCCATGTGGTGCCGTGATTTCCAAGCAATCGACCTCGAAATGTTTCGCGGGTCAGAACTAGCGTGTGAGCTAAGCGTGCCTCAACGTAATAATTTAAATGAGCAGTGGGATGAGATTAGGTGAGCAATGAATTCCGCAGCGAATGTTGCTTGTGGGCATGAGCCTCAAACTCAACAGAGGCAATAAATATCCGATGAATCTGTAGCACTGATGGATCAAAACAAAGTTAGATAGCATCTATAACCGTGAGAACTGGTGGGCAACAACAGCTAATGAAATGGAAGTAGCAGCTGCATCAGGGAATAGCCAAGGATTGTTCCGATTGATACGCAATACAGGAGGTCGGCAAACTCGTTAGTGAAACAGTCAGTGATAAGAGGGGATAAGCTAATCACAATAGGAATAAACGACTCGATCGCTGGGCAGAATACTTCAGCGAACAGTTCAGCTGGCCTAGTGCTAGTCAGGTTGCTTCATCTACAACTGAAGCTCCATGGGCAGTGTCATGCGATTCTCCAGCAGAATCAGAAGTTC